AAAAAAAAAAAAAAAAATTATATTTTCATTTGAGTTCATCTGTTAAATTGACAATTATTAAAACTTTAAAGGTACAAAATATTAATAATTAGATTGCACAATATTAATAAGTTAACCAAATTGATCGCACTTTTGTTACAACACAAAACTATTGTTAAATTATCACGTGATTACATAATTATTATCGCCTACATGTTTTAAAATTCACAAATTTATCAAAATTCTCACGCGCTTAATTATTAATCGGTCGAGCATAAAATATTGCCCGATAGCTTGGTTTAATTTGTTGGTTAACCAAATTGACTCAAATAACACTAAATTATTATTTGTATTATTATAAAAAATATTTAGTATTTTTTAATATATTTATTTAATAATTTAAATTATTTTAAGCTTAAAAATAATATACATGTAAAAATATAAACGAAAAAATTATTATTTGTATATGGGTCGGTCGGTTATTTGATTTTCCACCATAATTAAAAAAAATTGAAATTATAAAAGTAAAAAATCAATAATTTGATTGACATAAAAAATCGGACAAAAAATTCTATTAGATATTAGATGATAAATGAATTATACTATGCAATCTATCAGTTATTAAGATGCGAGTCGGCCAACGGCATGGTGCACGGTAACGGTATGTATTGTGCAAATTGAACCAACTGAATTTTGTCACAAATCAAATTGAAAATGAATGGTTTATTCGGTTTAGTTAACCGAATTATCCTAAATAATAAAAAAATGATATTTATATTTAAATTATATTTAATATGTTAATTATTTTATTTATTATTTGTGGATGAAAAAACTAAATTCGGTCGGTATCGATATATAGTGTGCAATCTGATAACTGTGATAAAGTGCATCGTGCTATTTTATAAAGTGCAACTTGTTGTTTTATAAAGTGCAACATGATGATGTATAAAGTGCACCATTATAATTTTGGTATGTTAGCATGCTTATGTTTTTTTGTGAATAGATTTTTTATGAATATTGAAGTACTATGTCGATCTGCTTTTTAATTTTATATTGCGTAATATTTTTTGCGTGAGCTGTTGACATTATTGCGAGATATAGCGATAAAATGCAACATGTGGTTTTCAATGTGGTGCTTTATAAAGTGCAATATTTTTTGTTATATAAGGTGCACTAATTTATACCATACAGATAAATTATGTGTATTCAAAAATAGTTTTAATATATATAATCGTACATCAAATTAAACTACATAACTAAAATATCTTGTTATTTATTATTTTTGTTATATAATTTATTTATTATTATACATTATTTTCTTTTTTTTTAGTATTTATATTATTTTTATTTAATTGTTTATTTATTTTTTAACATATATGCATAACAATATATATATAATTATTTTTTTATTAACATCCAATAATTATAGATTTGACTAAGGGTTAAATTGAAATATCACGTGCAATGTCTGCGATAAAATGCAATATCACATACACTAAAGTGCAACTTGTATAACAATATGGTGCAGTATGTATATTAGTATTTTAAATGTGCAATTCCCAACGCGATATGGTGCATTGCACACCATAAATGTGCAAATATCAACTTTTATTAATTTATAAATTTAACCTAGGAACTAAATTGTAATATATTTAAAATTTCTTAAATTTCAAATAAGTTCCTTGATTCTATTTAATTTACAAAAAATAGCCCTATTTCTAATTTCAAGCCATTTCCAAATCCCTAATTATGTGCAACTATTTTCGTTTCCCCGGCCAAGGCTGATGGCGCCGACGTCGGGATGGGTGGAGGCGACAGCAGGAAGGGCGAGTACGGCAGCGGTGAGGGCGGAGATAGCCACCTCGCCGGACAACATCGAGTGAGATTTGGATGGAGGCGGC